TTTTTTTTTTTTTTTCACTGGAAGCACATAAATGAGGACCATTTATATTTTTATAAACTAGATCTTATATAGAATTGAAGAAAGAAAGTCTAAACAAGCTGTTTGTGATGAAATGTGGCAAAATGTTTATGTTCACTTCCTTAGATGGCAGTCAACGAAAATCTGTGCAGAGTACATGTTAATCTTCAGGGGTTGCCATATACCGACTCCTGAGGTTTCTAGTCATTAATTGTAAAAGCAGCAATATTTCTGAAAGTTAGTTTAGCAAGTCTTGAATAACAATGGCAAAAAAAGAGGATTATGTAAAGAATGAGACTGATAGGAGTAAATGGTCAAAGTAAAAGAAACTAAATTTTATAATGTAGAAAACAAAGAAAAGAATACTAGGTTCTCCAAGAACATGTGGTTCTCCTTGGGAAAGAATCCCGCCAAGCTAAAAACTGAACAACAATCTTATTTCTCTTGTGCCCTACAGAATAGACCAAAGACTTATTAAATAGAATACGAACCCTAAACAAAATATAATGGACACTTTAACCTTATGTGTCTGAAGCCCACTAATTTATGCAATATAATATAGTAATACAATAGAATTGTTTGTAACAATGCTATCCCGTTTAAGACAGCCTTGTCCACAAGGCTAACATAGAAACGTAGTCCTGTCATCAAATTTGAACCCATGGTCTTACCCTGAAGCCTCAGTATCATCATTTTCTGCAACAATTAAGGCTTGAATGGATTTGTTGGGGGCAGACATGCATCAGGCTGTACGATTCTTTACATCGAAAAATAAAGCACTTTTGCTCGTAGATATTGGTACTCTTGATGAGAATAATGGCGGATGCCTTTTTGAACAACAGAGAACTGGAATTCAGTATGTGGTAGGGATATTGTGACCACCATCAGTTGGGCATGAGTTGGCTGTGTCATGGGTTGATTTTGCAAATTAGGATTCGGTAATGTAGAACCCTTAGGAGCAGGGTTGGGGTGCCTGGTGGATAGCTGCCAATTGTTCCACCAAAGTCGGTCAATAGTGGACCTTCCACGCTAACAAATGCAGTGGACACCTTCAATTCGTCACGAGTGAGTGTTTGATGCGGAGATGAACTGGAGTGATCGTTGTCCACATCATGCCCGCTAGTTCCAGTATTCTGAATATTTGAAGCAGACTGTGAGTAGATCTGCAAGTTTGGTGATGGTGTTTTTGAGGCTAGTGAGGCGGTGTTCAATTGACTCGTTACCCTTCTCAAAAGCTTCGACCCTAGAATCCATTCATGTCATATCCAATGCAGCGGACCAATTGATAGGAGTAAAGGGTCAAAGAAAAAGAAACTAAATATTACCAATTGATAGGAGTAAAGGGTCAAAGTAAACGAAACTAAATATTATTATGTAGAAAAACAAAGAAAAGAACACTAGCTTCTCCTCGAGAAATAATCCCCCTAAGCTAAAAGCCGAACAACAATCTTATTTCTCTTCTGCACTACACAAAAGACTAAGGGTGGGTTTGTTATAAATAAACTCAATTCATCCATACTCAAAATCTAACTCAACTTCAACTCACCCCACTATGCTTAATATTATCAATATAATTAAATAATATCACTATCTCATTTTTACACATCACATCAACTTTAATTCACTATTCATCCGCTTACATATTTTTAACTAACTATCATTTCACATCACCGCTTTCATACTTTTACATCAAATCAACTTTAATTATTTTATTTTAAATATTTATTTTAATATAACCCCATCCCACCAATAACCGACCATATCACTCTTTTTTCAAAATTAACCGACGCCCTAATGATTTACTTAAATAGAAAACTAATCCTAACAAAATATAACCCTATGGGCACTTTAAACTTATGGATTTGAAGCCGGCTAATTTGTTCTACATAATATAATAATATGATAAAATGATATAATATAATAATATGATAAAATGATCTCTAATAGAGATTGATAGATTGATACACATGTGTATAATTATAATTCTCAATGAATCCACCATACATATATATATATATACATACATATATATGTATGGTCACACTCCGGTGAGAATGATGTTCCGTGAAATATGGAAACATCGTAGGCATCGATCGGATAATCAACGGCAAAAAAAATATTAAACATATACACATCGATTAAGGGTATATTGGACATTACCCACAATTACACCCTCCAGTGGGCCCTACCCCACCCACCCACCCACCCACCCTCCAGACCGCCCGTCACAACTCCGCCGGCCAGTCCCGTTGTTGCCACCACCTTCCTCCGCCGCCGCCGGGAGTTGACGAGCGTAATCGGCAAAATGGACTCAGAGAGTACCACCTCCGCCTCCAGCCACTTGCCGCCGATCCCCATATCCCGACGATCGAGGACGGCTCCATCATCTTCATTGGCACCCCCTCGTATTCCGCTACCATTCAACCCTAATCTGATCGCCTCGAAACCCTAATCGACACCGGCCTTGCGGCCTCTCTGTCACCGTCAACGTCGAAAATAAAAGTCGGATTCCTCGACTTCCTCTTCTCGCAGTCCAGCGGCTGGACCCACGGAAAACCCTCGGTGGACGCCGTAAAATTTGCCTGCTGGGCTGGGTGTTTTGATAACAATATATTACATTTAGTTTATGGGTCAAATCTATAATTTATCAAAACTTTAATAATTGCACATTAATGTTACGTTTGAATATGCTACATACATAGTGATAGACGACTACACATTATTGTTTGCTAGATTGCACATTAGCTCAACAGCGCATTCTGCGGAATGACTAAAATACCCGCGTGAAAATAAAAAGTCTACATATTTACAGGAGTGTCACTGTGTGTTTGACTAAAGCTAGACCCTTGACCGTGTCTGGAATGTTGATATATTACATCTAATGGTTTGCATTCATTCTTATTTTTTGCACTATGACTTTTTCTCATGTGATTCTAACTCTGTAGTGTATTGATTGAAAATTACTGTTGTAGGCATGTATCGTTGCAATTTAATTATATGGTTAATTTTTTCTTATTCTTGAGTTATTTGGTTGTGAGTAGAAAATAGATTACTAGAAAATGAATCATGCATGAAAACAATAATGAACAATTACTTTCGTCAGTTCATAAATCTATAAACCTAATGCAGAAACGAAAAAATGCAAATGTCAAGTATAAGATTTAATGTTTTTTAATGTTTATAAAATAATGATTTTTTATTTTTATTTTCCTTTTTGTATACGATAAAACTATAATAGTCATACACATTTATCTGACTAAATATCTTAATATATTGTATCGATGACCAAACTAACTATTAAAAAGATTCTACTGATCGGACAAGTTTAATCGTTGGACATGCAAACATGTCTTTCTATAATTCTATTACAAATTATTTGGACTAAATGTAACTTTATTTTATGATTTCATTTAATTGATGGTAATACATATCATTGTTTTCAAAATGTTAACGGCTCGATCATTCAACCATCGTGTCATCGGTTAATTGTTGAACTGTATGATTATTATTAAAAAAATAAATATATTTACTATTTTCATCTTATAAATATACACAAAAATAACAAAACTAAATAGTTCACATAGTTTAAAATGGCGACGCCATGGCGACGCCTCGAGGCGAGGCGACCGAGGCGAGGCCCACTTCGCCTCGCCCGCCTCGCCACTGCCTGAGGCAACCCTGTTCGTGAGGCGCTCGCTTCAGGTTGCCTCGGCTCGCCTTTTCGCGTGGCGAGAGGTGC